CCCTAAACCCTAATTATTTACACAAAAACGAAACCAGAAACACTAAAACCCTAAATAAATATACGTAAACCCTAAACCCTAATGCATACAAAAACCCTAAACCCTAAACCCTAAAAAGCCTCAATATATATATATATCTTCCTAAACCCTAATATACAAACAACAAAAATGCAGCAGCTGCACCATACAAACCCTATACATCTACACAATATAAATCCATACATAAACTATAAAAAATAAAATAAATAAATAAATAAATAAATAAATAAATAAATATATATTTGGGGTGTATATGCAGGTGCTTGGTTGAATCGGGAAGGGGTACGCAGCGAAGAAGAAGGAAACTGCCCCATGTGTAGACAAGTCTGGAGTTTTGCTGCTGGCCAAGCTGCTGCTGCTGCTGCTGCTGCTGCTGCTGCTGCTGCTGCTGCTGCTGGTGGTGGTGCTGCTGCTGCTGATGTCGATGGTGCTGCTGCTGCTGCTGCTGCTGGGGGTGCAGCAGATATAACAGCAGCAGAAGAAGATGGAGACACAGCAGCAGCAGCAGCAGCAGCAGCAGCAGCAGCAGCAGCAGAAGATGATGAACATACACAAACAGAATTTATGATATATAATGAAGCAAATGAAAGAGAAGAAGAAGAAGAGCTGCATATACACCCCGAGCTGCATATACACCCCAATTAAAACTATCTTTATTCTACTCATCAACTCCTAAAACAAAAAATTAATAAACAACTAAATAAAAAAACAAAAAAGATATTGCTGCAGCTGCTGCTGCTGTTGCAGCAGCTGCTGCTGCGGTTGCAGCTGTTGCTGCTGCTGCTGCTGTTGCAGCAGCTGCTGCTGCGGTTGCAGCTGTTGCTGCTGCTGCAGCTGTTGCTACTATAGCCGTTGCAGTTGCTGCTGCAGCTGCTGCTCTAGCAGCTGCTGCAGCAGTTCCTGCTGCAGCAGCAACAGCAGCTGCTGCTGCTGCAGCAGCAACAGCAGCAGTTTCTGCTGCAGCAGAAGCAGCAGCAGCAGCTGCTGCTGCTGCTGTTCATATTGTATTTATTTATTTATTATTTTTTGTTTTTTCTTTTATTATTAAACAGCAAAAATCAACAAAACAAATTCTTTCTCTCTTTTCTATTTACTCATATCTACCTATTTATTTTTATTTATCTATTTATTTTTATTTATTTATATATTTATATTTATTTATTTATTTTATTTATTTTTATTTATTTTTATTTATTTTGTTTTAGCGGCAAAGCTCTGGCGGCGGCGGGTCCTCAGGTATACACCCCGGCTGCAAGCAGCAAACATAAAAAAAAAAATAAAATAAATAAAATAAAATAAAATAAAATAAAATATAAATATAAATATATAAAACAAATATATACACAAAAAAAAACAAAATAAAATAAAAATAATAAAAATAAAATAAAATAAATAAACGACAGGAAACACGGAGACAGCATGCTGCCAGCAGCAGCAGCAGCAGCAGCAGCAACAGCAACAGCAGCAGCAGCAGCAGCAACAACAGCAGCAGCACCACCAGCACCAACGACAGCAGCAACATCGGCAGCAACATCAGCAGCGACAACAGCAACAGCAGCAGCAGCAGCAGCAGCAACAGCAGCAGCAGCAGCAGCAGGAGCAGCAGCAGCAGCAGCAAAACACACCTGAAATGCTGGGCTTCGAAAGGCCGCAAGATCTGCCTCTGCTTTTGCTGCTGCTGTTGCTGCTGCTGTTGCTGCTGCTGTTGCTGCTGCAGTAGTTGCTGGTGCTGCTGCTGCTGCTGCACCATCTGGCGTTTGTGCGAATGCAGCAGCATTCTGCTGCTGCT